AGGATTGAGAAATTCTGACCTACTGCATATCATGGAGAGCGCTTGGCACGCAGTGTTATTGAATTTACCTATCATCCTACTATGGCGTATATGCTTCCTCATCTGCATTCTGGCTGGGCTGTGGACCAAGCCATTTTGGGGGAGGAGGAACGATTAGTTTGTATACGGTAGGGCTCATGTACATAGTTTGTGAATTAAATGCAAACTGCTGCTGTTACTTTGAATATTCGGTTATAAAACTTTTGATTTTCGAATTGAGAGTACGACTATAGACTAGTAAACGCTGGTGAATCGATTCAAATTGTTATTATGTTGATGATAATAAAAATCGACTTTCCACAGTACCGACTTGGTTCACCATAGAGACTTCCATAATTACACAATAATGCCAGAGTGCCAATGCTGACGTTGGAACAACTCTTTTTAACTCTTTAACGGAAATTGGAAAGTTATCTTCACACAAACACTATTTTGATCATACGTACTGTAAGTGTATGGAAAGTGAAGATTGGTCGGCGTTGGTGGAATCGAAAATCTTCTCTGTGCGCAATTATGGGAATTCGAACTGTTTCTCGTTGCTTTAGGTTCGGCCATGATTACGACCCACAATGCATGCAAATGGATGAGGTGTTGTATAACTGTGCAGAGGATGTTAAGAACTTTGCGGCGATATACTTGGTGGGAGGAGGAGGAGGTCTCGGGTTCGAATCCCACAGATGTCATTTCAGGTTGATACTAGAGAGGTACCCGACTTCAACACAATGTATGAGCTGTATGATCCTGTTACAGTTATGTTCTTCTATCGGTGAGTATTAATTCATTCGTATCGAAGGATCGAATCCCACATTCGGCATTTCAAATTTCCCAACGAAACTCTTCTACGAAGGTTTAGGGGCTATGATTGAACATTCTCATTGCGTAGTTTCCACCACAAATTCGATGGACCAAAGACTTTATCTCCTTAAAATTACATCAGTTGGAGCACTTGTAGGAGAATATGCACATAGTCAACTGTGTGTGCTGATGGCAATGAGAAATCTCTGGGAATT